ATCCATTCCCTATCCTCAAGAATAAGGAGGATATGTTCAAGTGATACAATCGATGGGGAATTGGAGCGACTCAGACAAGTTCTCTTAGAGAATGGATATCCTCCAAGATTCATCGAGAAAAACATGAAGCTAAGAGAAAAGCCCGAAAGAATTCAGACTGTGCCGAAGAAACCGCTCTTTATGAGCGTTGAATTTAAAGGTGATACTGCAGCTGAGATCCTGAAGAATCGCTTACGCAGATCACTGAGGAAAGCCTTCTTTATGGCTGAGCTACGTATCAATTTCTACAGCCGACGAATGATCAACGGATGTGTAAAGGATAAGCTGCCGCTTTGGGCCACCTCAATGTGTGTTTATAAATTCACATGCTCGTGTGGAGCAAGTTATATTGGCCGCACAAAGCGCACGCTTTCCAAACGCATCTCTGAACATTATCCGGCATGGTTAGCAAAGGGACAATGCAAGACAATTACTAGCTCAATTCTCGAGCATTTGGTGAACTCAGGCCACGTAGCTCCACCAGAGTCGTCTTTCAACATCATCTACAAAGTGAAGCCAAATTGTACAAAAGGCGTCAGGTTCCGGCTTTTGTGTATGGCGGAGGCGCTGGCAATACATCAATACAACCCTGATCTCTGTATACAGAAAAAGTTTGTCCAGTCTCTTATTCTACCTTGGTCTTAACCTCTTCACTTATCCTTCCCTGTTAAAAAATATTTTTGATTTTGTTCTTAATCTTTAATTTTACTTTTAGTTTGCTTTTGCTTTAATAATTAATTCACTATTATCAATTTCATATATTTTCACACCTTCTTCACACTTGTTAAATTGACACTCTAATAACTTTATTCTCACTCAAGAGCAATTTTAACCTTTTCTAACTTCTATCTTTGTTCCGTCAAGTACCATGTAATTTACAACTTTTAATTTTCACCTCTAAAGCCACTTATGATTAATTACAGCAATTATGTCACCCCCTATTATTCAATAATAGACCACCATACATTCTTCTAAGTATAAATACGACTGTACAGCTTCTGAAGATGATTTCGTCGATAAAGAAAATTTTCTTCGCTGAATCCGTCTTTTATCTTAAAGATGTTTGAAACAAGACATAATACTAAGGACGTTCTAGAATTTTCTCCCGAAGTTTAATAGTCCCCTTTCAGTGGAGATAACTACTAAGTCTGAGAAATTGTTATCTTGTGAAGAGATTTCTCATTTTGTGCATACAAGAAAACTGGGTCTATACTACCCATTTGCTGAGAACAATTCTTAAAAATGTGTAAAATACTTTAAAGGAATTAAAAGCATACTTAAAATAAGGATAAAACTTGGGTTATCTGGTAGAGCACAATTCCAATAGGGAAAACACTTTTTTGATATTATCACACAGTGTTATACAGCAATATCTACTATGACCACCTTTCGAGCACAAATTATTGCCCATAATCATATCAAGTCACACACAACGTTTTCCTTCATTTATATACATGAGTAGAATTGATTAGACATGAGAATAAAATCAACATAAGATAAAGTACAATCGGAAATATCATTAATGTTATCAATAAAGTACAATAGGATGGGAAATAAGATGTTTTTCACAGTAAAAATAAGTAACTTGTTAAAATGTTATAATGTGAATTGAATACATTTTAACATTATTTATTATCCTCTGATTTGACTGGTAATAATATCTTCCATATCTCTGGTATTTCTGTTGAGTCATTTCTATTGCATGTGTTGGGTGTAGACTGGATGAACCAGGATTCAGAAATCAACCTCTCTCCACCTACCTATATTACTTTTTAGAATTTTGGCTCTAACCCACCCTATTGTGTAGTTGTATTAATGCATGTTGTGCCACTGCTCAGTTTTTGTTCTAGATTAGTTATCTTCTTGGGATCAATCTTTCTAGCCTTAGCTAAATTCTTATGTTCTGATAATGTCACTACTCCTGATCTACTAGTTTGACCTATATAGTTGACCTCATAGTCATTGCAAGGTATTTCACATCGAGTCTACATCCAACATGCAATAGAAATGACTCAACAGAAATACCAGAGATATGGAAGATATTATTACCAGTCAAATCAGAGGATAATAAATGTTAAAATGTATTCAATTCACATCATAACATTTTAACAAGTTACTTATTTTTACTGTGAAAAACATCTTATTTCCCATCCTATTGTACTTTATTGATAACATTAATGATATTTCCGATTGTACTTTATCTTATGTTGATTTTATTCTCATGTCTAATCAATTCTACTCATGTATATAAATGAAGGAAAACGTTGTGTGTGACTTGATATGATTATGGGCAATAATTTGTGCTCGAAAGGTGGTCATAGTAGATATTGCTGTATAACACTGTGTGATGATAAAATTTTATCCCTAACGGGGCACAATAGAATGGGATAGCATGACAGTTTTAAAATCTGATGTCACAGGGTATAGGAGGAGATTGATAACAGAAGCTTTATTTATCGAATCAACTGCAAATACACGTAATAGGAATGTCCCAGATATTTGGAAAATTCTACTACCCATACAGCAAATAGGAGAAGACAAAGAAAACCATAAAACTCAAGTTTCGAAGTCGTGTGATTACAATTGATATGATTATGAACAATAAACTTTGTTTGAAACGTCTTCCAGTAAACAATACTGTTTCACTGTGTGATACATCTAATAAACAAACGAATATGGAATCTAAAACAATTAGTTCCCTTTATGAATTTAGATAAAGCAATAAGAAGACTTAATTTGTCTGAATCGTGTAATGTATTTGCGCTACACATTTCGAACAGTCTGATCACACACGGACTTGTCGCAAGGATATATATGAAATTAATAAAGAGGTAAGAGGTGAGAAAATAGACTTAGGTCAAGTTAAAAGGACATATTCAAGGTTAAAATAACAATGAAGACCACTAAACCAAATAGCAGAGGTAATAGTACATCTGCTATGGTCTCAAAACAAAATTTACCAAGGAAGGTTTAATGTGATGACAAATTGTTTTTGAACGCAAAGAGGTGGCTTGAACTTTCTAATTGCTAGGGCTTCTACAAACCTTAGGATACGCCCCAAATACGTTTTATAGATAGGTTTAAAAGATCTGTTAACATCAATTTTATGACCTGTCTCTATAATATGTTTCGCAATAGAAGAGCTAGGTCTCCTGTTCTCACCGTCAATAGGTTCTGATGATTCCATTTGTTTTTGGAGCCATTTTGGAATATGCTCTGAAGCCCTTACTTGCAGAGATCGATGAGTCCTCCCTATGTATGTGTGTCCACACGTACATTCAAGTTCGAAGGGCTTAGATAGATATAATGGCTTTACATTCTCTGTTATTATGATATTGGCTGCATAAAAAGTCTTTTTTTAACAGCAGCGTTCAGCCTTTGTCTAGTTATCAAGCTGCTTTGATGTCCCATATAGGGTAGCTTGATGTACACGTCTTTCTGAGGGGCGAGTTGGAGAGTGGGTCTTGGTGATCTGACTACTTTATATCTCCTGATGAACTTGTCTGGATAATTGTTATCAACCAGAGTTTGTGTCAACTTTCTTCCTTCTTCATCAAGCGTGTCTTCAGGGCATATTCGACGGATTGTACTGAAGAGGCACCTTACTAAGGCTCCTTTGTACCGAACAGGGTAGAAACTGTGGTAATTAGGATACTGTCCTGTCCAGATAGGTTTTCTATAAATAGATCTTTTTATTGACCCATCAAGCCGTCGACCAAGCAATATGTCTAGGAAAGATAAACATTTATCTTCCTCTTCTACAGATGTAAGTGGTATGCTATTCTGAACTTCATTCATTCGATTTAAAATTGAGGTGGCAGAACAAGGCTTATCACTGATGACTACGATATCATCTGTATACCTTCTATAAAGTGGCACATTTTCGATTAAATCCTCCGATAAATTCTCAATGTGCGATATATAAATATCTGCTAAAAGGGGCCCTAACGGACTGACCATAGCAACACCATCAACTTGGCGGAAACAATCGCCTTCAAATGTAAGCCTAACATTGTTAGTACAAAGAAGTAATAAATCCCTTAAGTAAGATATAGGGAACGGGATGAAAAAATTGTTAGTGGAAATATATTCACACAAAATGTCAACTGTTTTGATCAAAGGCACATTAGTAAATAACGAGTTTACATCAAAAGAGTACATATTCTTGTTTATAATATTAATGTTACTATCATCAAGAACACCAACCAATTCAAATGTTTCTTTTAATACATAATATGGAATCACTAACTAATCCATTGGATCATATATATCTTATTTTCATTAATCGATACTGCCGAATAAATAATTCTATCTGGTTAATTGCTTTACTTATAGGTTACCATGACAAGAAAGAGAAATGTTGACACATCTCCGGATTAGAAATACAACCAAGCAGTTTTGAAATGTGATAAATAACCTTATCCTTGTAATGAATACGTGTTGATTCTATGTACCGTCGTTATGTGTAAGTCATACCTACTGTAAAAATGAGAAAGATTAAATCCGATAAATAAAGATGAGTGACCTACTTGGCTACTTATTTAGACATCACAGTTACTTTGAAGAGAATTTTCCATGTGCCGGCCTGTGAGCCACATTTAATGTGTGAGCGCTCATGATACTCCCAAGCGTCTCAGTCAGGCTGATGTGGAGCGGTATTCGAACCTGAGAGTCACTGGCTAGAAATTCGAGTACTCTAGCTAGCTGCTGATGCTACAGTTACCCAGTGAGAAAATAGGTTGGGTGGGTTCGGAGCCTGGGCTGATCGGCTGAAAGTCTTGTGCTTAAGCCATTGATCTATATATTCACCTATCTAAATTACTGGACTTCTTCAGTCGTCTTCATTCATTTCTTTTTTATACGCTAAATTAGGCATTGTGTAACTCTAATGAAATTTTACTAAAATCTATTTATTACTGATGGAATCAATTGTGTTTCCTTTGTTATTCCTCTTTTACCAGGGAATTGTCAGATCTTGATCGTGATGGACATTTAACCTTGGGTGAATTTTGTGTAGCAATGCATTTGGTTGTGTATAAGTTGAACGGTGTACCAATTCCTGATACTCTACCATCAGCTTTATTTGAATTAGTAGAAAGTAATTGGTTATCAGCTAAAATAACACAACAACCACTTACGCAATCATCACAGTCGACAATTACAAAAGCAGCCACTATTGATAATTGTGATCACGATATATTGACCAATTGTACAATGAATTCGTGTATACAAAGAAATTATTTCAATCCAACTATGTATGATAATACAGATATGCGTAATACTCACCAAGAATCGGATTGTCGACAACAGTTGCCATTATCCTCATCTCTTCTTTATCCATCTAATCACAATCATCCGCATCAAATTAAAACAACTGGTACCTGTGTGTCACCTATTGATACAATGAATTCAACTGTAAATTCAACTGAATTCAAACAGCAACAGCAAAGACGATGGTCAATATCAAGTCAAAGTGATATTTGTTCATTAGCAGAGGGCATGATGTTATTTGAATCAAAACCAAATATGGATGCACAAGTAATGCCGTAAAAATTATTGTTGAATATGTATTTTGGTTTTCACTTGTCTTCCTTTCTTCCTCTCTCTTTCAACAAACAGTGACGAATTTAAATAAAGAGCGATTAACAGTTAGGCTTAAACGTACTTGCCTACAAAACATGTGTATGATTTTATGTAGCTGTTAGTTATTGGCAATCATAGGTCCAAGGATTAACCAAACTTCTGTAGGTTTAAAACGAATAAGGCTTTAAAGATAACTACTTGCATTTTCGTACAGTTAGCAGTGAGTCACACCTGTTGTATGAGGGCTCTCCAAACGTTGGTAAATGGTAAAGAGTTGAAACTTGTGACCCGGTGCGTGGAGGTCAAGTGACTGGACCACTATGAGCTACTGTATTGACTGTTTCTTTTTTCTCGTAAATAAAGTATTGTGTTGAAATACTTCAAATTTACAGAGTACTGCCAGAAAAACTACGTGCATATATACATGTTGTTAGATGGTGGGAAGCAATCGGTAGAAAGTCTTGCACCTGGGTGTCGTGCTAGTTGGCATTCGTCAGCAAGGTGTGTGTCCAATCTCGGAGGACCTCATGTTTTTTCTGAGATTTGAACTCGGATCATCCAGTGCTGTGATCAAAGACGTTACCACTGAGCTATTGGGGCTCGCGATTAACATAATGTAGGACTGTAATGGGTACTCTAATTGGACACAAGCAGCAACTAAGGTGATGTCCCTAATCCTTCGTTTGGTGCAGATCGGATTCTATATCCTTTACAATGTGGCCACCATCCTAGGTGGCTCTTCATCACGGTACACCCTGAATTATTGTTATTGAAAGTGGACTGATAGAATTCAATTTACACCAAATGAAGGATCGGGGAAATGGCATTAGTTACTATGTAGTGTCCAATTAGAGTATATATGCATATACTTGACTATCAGTCATAATTATTTCGTCTTATGGAGATTTATGATGCCTATTCATTTACTCGAAAGTTGTTAAATTAGGCCGGGATTGGAACTTCCATCCTACAGGTAGAGAGCCGTGTTCTTATGTCGTTGAACTACAATTCAGCCTAGATTCTTTAGAGTAACAATAAGTAGTGTTATCGTCGAACTAATTTTGATTCATTTCCTTTTGTGTTTTATCTTCATTTCATTAAATTTCTATTTTTTTTTTTGTAGCTAAAACATCCTATCCCGTTGAGAGTTCGAACCTTGCCTTCAAGTATAATCCCTGAAATAAATTCAATGCATAATTCTCTAGTTTCTACTGATAGTGGTCATCATCATCAACAACAGAGTAGCGATCTGTCAAAAACATATAATTACTCGAAGAAAAATGCATTTTACACTACAGCAGATCCATTGGTCATTGATTCTAATTTCCCAGGCAAACTAGATAATGATAATTCTGCTAAACCCTCACCTTCTGAATTAGTCAAAAGTCGACACTATGAATCATTCTCACCTCAGCATATTGCCGATCAATTGTCATTGTCAACATCAAAATCTGCACCACCGCCACCTCCTCGGGCTAATTTGTTACTTGTAACTAATATTGATTCTGTCGATGTTGGTATACAGAAATCCAGTTCAGCTAGGGATAGAGAAGTTAGTGTTTGTATTTTGAGTACTTTTCCCTCCTTGTTGTTTATTGGTTGTGTTTACGGAGACATACATGCACACTCTGTCATCGCTTACAGGATTGATTTGGTAGTGTACCTCAGTGTTTAAGCACTTAAGGTATAACACATAAGTCATAGGTTCTAGTGTAATTCTCTAAATTTTTTACTCAATGTAAGGGAATATAATTCCATATTAGATGACTAAATAATGCAACAGACCGTGGGGAACGAGAGGATGGAAATACTTTGGACTGACAAAAAGACTCTTGATGATCTAGACTTCGCCGATAATATATGTCTAATATCTTATGAGCTCGAAGAGTTACGGATGAAAATCATTTGGAAGAAGAGTTAGCAAAGACAAGACTTTAAGTGAACTTAGGGAAGATAATGATGATGAGGATATCCAAAAATCAACAACAAAAGCATAAATCACTGTCAGTGAGAGAAATCCTACACTTACTTAGACAGCATCCTCTCAACTACATACAGCACAAATGAAAATGTAGGATTGGGAAGGTAAGGCAGACCTTCATTAATCTGAAATCAGTGTGAAAATCTACTGAACTCACTATAAAAAACAAGAACTGGATTTTCAGCATTAATGTCGAGTCATTCCTTCTTTGTAGTTTAAAGAATTGGCGTGCATGTCACGAAAAGCATTTCCAACAAGCTACATACTTTTATCAACAGTTGCCGTCGGTCAATACTGCAGATCAGATGGTCAGAAAAGGTAAGCAACAGGGAACTCTGGAAACGAAACAACTAACAACCCATCGTCCAACAAATATGTAGAAGGAGGTGTAGATGGATTGGACATAGTTTATGGAAACTGTTGAGTGACATCACGTTTTGAGCACAACATATTGCTCATAAGCATTTGAAATCATTCATTTAGTAAGTTGTATGAATACTGTGATATCATTGTGAGCAATAGGTGGTGCTCGAAACGTTATTAAGTTGTTAATACTGTATCACTTTGTGTTATTATCAAATAAACTTATCTAATGTCAAGCTTTGTATTCACTAACTGGGTAGTCGTAATAATAAATAAATAATTTTTCCTTCACGTTCCCAGTGGAACATAGGGCTTCAAGCTAGTGACTTGAAGTTTCTGTAGCAGTGTATGTTTTTACAGGATGGGGTTGCTAGCCTCATACCCAACCTTCCCCCTTTACTAGCATTATTTCTGGCCCAGTGAGGTAAAGGAGTGCGCCGGCTGGGGATCGAACCCCGGACGATAAGCATGGTCGGCGAGCATCCTAACCGCTGCGCCACCAACGCACTGGGTAGTCGTAGTAGTAGTTTATTAATTCTTGCAGACTGTGTATGACAATTTGTACTGAATAACTGACCAAGTTGTCAGTCTCAATATACATTTCCTCATAAAGAACGATTGAAAAACAGGAAACACTGGATATTTGTTTCGCCGTATTGATTAAATTCTCAGTAGTGTGCGCATCCATAACCTACGGGGGGGGGTTGGAACCCAGGCATTCCTGTCTTAAGGTGAACGATTTTATCTCTTAGGCACTAGGTTCCAACTCATATTCCATGAAACCTTCAATTTTTCAATCATTCTCTACCTTATAGCAGTTTTCCACGAAAATTGAGCACAAAGTTGATTAAAGCTATTCAGCGCCTACACTTAATTTAATTTTGTTAACCTACTCAATCTTCTTACCATTTTCAGAGTATTGATCATTTGTCTCCTTTGTCTCACCCCTCTGCTCACAGTTTCTATTATGCTTTTCTTATACTTTCTTCTCTTGCTTCGCGTGCTACACGGAGTGTGGCGACTTGAACTTCCGCACATTTGTGCAAAGTTCTATGTCGAAAACAGACAGACTATTTAAACTTATTAATACCTAAAAGTAGTCGTTTGTGATCTAATTTCTGACTTCACCACTATAAATTTGTGTATGTAAAACAAGTGGACTATTTCACTGTAAATTTCCTTGGAGCAAGGTTTCTTGCTAGCAAGGTGTATCTGCAACCTTCAAGGGACTCATGTTCCTCCTACGCCTTACTGACGAGTGCCAACTAGCATCAAACCTAGGTTGAAGGCTTTCTGCCGATTGCCTCCAACCATCTAATATCAAAAGTTAAATCTAATTTCATGGTATATTTCACTATAAATTTAGTGACTAAATGGCAGCGCGCATGATTTTTGTTTCAAACTGAACAGCATTATAATTTTCAAGTGTTATTCTGCAATGACAGCTAACTTGAAGTTGATCAAATTGACACAATCTTAACATCATCATTCTCTTAATTACTATTTACCCACTTCACATTTCTACACAAAAAATCGCTGCTGCAGTTGTATGCATATTGTTTATGCACATAATTATTTTTAGGTTATTTATCTATGTCGGCGACCGTAATACGTTGAAGTCCCCGATTCTCGTACTATCACGGGTTAAGCGACCCTAAGCCCAGTTAGTACTTTCATGGATGACGCGCTGAGAATACTATATGTTACTGGCTGTAAGTGTGTCGGTGGTTCAGTAGTAATAGGCTTGCCAACCACTCACATGCTCTGGGTTCGATTCCGGTAGATGCACCTCGCTTAGTCGGTGGTATACTTGCTAAAAAGGAAAGGTTGGGGCGAGCAACTTCTTTCTGTTGAGACAACGTTCCTACCATAACTTCAAAGCTTGAGGCACAATGTCCCACTCAGTACGCAAAAGAATGAAAATTAAGATGTAATCTACAGTCCTTGAAATCAGTTGAAAATAACCTCTTTGTTGAAGTATTTGTTTTGATAGAATTTACTCAGCACCAATGAGGTCTAGATTTCTGTCGCTGGTCACTTTCCAGAAACCAACCGATCAGTATAACCACTACAGTCCTGCAGGACGTCAGTCGTGATCCCGAATGTGTGATGGATATTTATTTGTATTCTTTGATAACAGATATCAGGATAATACCGAAAGCTCGCATCACTATTCCTCATTATTCCAAATTGTTACACTTCAATATTTCCTCATCCAAGAAACAACTCAGAGAAGAATAAATAATTAAGAAAAGAAAACAGGATTTTATGCTGATAAGCTCTTTCTCAGGGTCCAAATTTACAAATCCCTAAATGACACCATACAATAATAGAAGGCGAAGACAAAAATAAAATTACATTAGAAAAAAAAATGCGGAAGAGAAAATCGAATACAGTTTCATTAAAAGATGGAATGGTAGGGTAGTTGGTTTTTAAATAAATATAAAAATTCACACACATGAGACAGTACGAATAAATGACGCAAATTGAACAGCTCCTGTGGAACTAATTAGTTACTTATACAACACTACAGTCGGATATATTTCTTCTTTATTGTCACTTGTGAGCATGTATCAGCTTGACCAAAACAAAGTGTAACTAGCTCAATAAACAAATAATGTCATATGCTGATCAGTGAACATGGAATCATAATATCAGAAGTATTTATGACAATACAATGCACCATATACTGAGTAATCCGCTTCAGGACACATGCATATATCTCTTATCCTATGTCTGAAGTTGTAGGAATTGAAAAGAATTGGTTTGATCTTGCATTCAAAAAGTGCATTCAACTCCCACCCCCATCTAATCCACTAATTACAACTAACAGGTGAAACTGGAATTTTTACTGATGACTATAAATTCATAAGGACATCTTCCAACTACTTGGTGGTCCCGCTAAAAGCAAGAATTCTTAGAAGTTGGGATTTATAGGCCATCAAAATCGGGTCCCAATGGCTATATTATCTACGAGCTTGCCTTATAACTGGAAGGTCTCATTGGTTCGAACCTCAGTGGGTTCGTCCTACTTTAAATCCCAAACTAGGAAGAAACAGCTGTCCAGTACTCCCTGGTTCAAAATGGTCAAATTTGAAGCAACTACCCTATCTCATATCTCTAGTGATTGTACACATTTTAGATTAGATTTCCTACCTTTCCATCCTCTAATCCAACGGCATTCCATTGTTTTCACTATAAAAGGATTTTGTGACGATATTGTATATTTTGACTTTTGCTTATCTATTGCATGTATATATATACTTGTAACTAGCTAACTATGCAGCATAAGGAGAGAGCAAGTGAAAATTTCAGTAGATTGTTTTCCCTTACTGGCTTTAGTTCCGCATTAGATAAGTTTATTTTAATGATAACACAGTGATGCAGTATTAATAACTGGATGATGTTTTTCGAGCATAAATTATGAGCAATAAACCTATCTAATGTAGAATTACATTCTGCCACAGTGCTCAAGTTCTACATTTGCATTTAGTTCGACATAAGAAAAGAGACTATTAACTCTCCTGTCTGTTGCCATATCAATTGATCATCAGTAATTCCTATTAAAAAAGGTTTATTTTCGCTGTTGTTACTGTCGTTTCATCCAGTTGTTTATTTTCTGTTTTTTTTTTAACAAAATTTTACAGAAAACTATTTCGGTACTGACAACGACTACATTGGATCAGAGGGACACCAGGTAACTAGATTGTGATGATGCCTAGTTTGTTTCTTGTTAATTCACCTTTTAGTATTCTTCAACGTAGAGTGTTGTATTTCGGGTTGAAATGAATGCTGTTCTTCATCAATTCATATGCGCTAGCTAGTCGTGGAGTTCATGACGTGTTTCGTACGGTTGGTAGTTCCCGCATCCAACCAAGTAATCATATCTTCTAGCACTGATCGTTTTCCAATTCCGAATATTTATCTTTTAAGTCTCATTATTTTCTTTGACCCATTAACTTATGTTTGGTGTATGAGTAATAACTAAGACAAAAATTGATTACAGAAAGATTGAGCGAAGAAATATTTACTTTTCAATTAGATCCTCATCTCTGGCTTTACTCTAATATATATAGCATTTTAATTACAATACAACAGTTTGCCAATCAAGTGGCGATAAGTTTGTTAACCCATTGACATTTTGACACTGTTTAATTATTGTTAACAAACTTATCGCCACTTGATTGGCAAACTGTTGTATTGTAATTAGAACGCTATACCTATTAGAGTAGAGCCAGAGATGAGGATCTGATTGAAAAGTAAATATTTCTTCGCTCAATCTTTCTGTTTTCTAAATGCCTAAATGGGGATTTTTTCTTTATTGAAAAATTGATTAGACGAAATTCTGTTTGTGTTAATTGTCATTGTTTTCTGGAACAATAAGTAGACAATGTGTATAAATGCCCCATTTGCCTTCTGCATTCCTTGCGTTCTGAGTGAGATATAGGTTTTCAACATTTTGATGACTTATTAGAAATAGGGTGTGGTTACTGGCCTGAAGCCCAACATTCCCTTGTTTTCAGGTTTACCATCGCTTAGTAAACTAGGTCTGACTGACTAAGGGGTTTCAGCATAGAACTTTCCACCGATGTGCAGCAGTTCGAGTCACCACACTCCAAGTAGCACACAAAGCAAGAGAAAAAAGTAAAAGTAAACGCGAAATAGAGGAAGTACTCAGAGATATGAAGCGAAAAGAGTAGTAATATCAAAGAACAATATAGTTTTATTGGGTAATATAAGTCACAAGGAGTGGATGCATCTGCGCCACTGCGAACGATTTTGAGCCATAACACCAATTGTCTTCAGCCATTGGTGTTTACCGACTCAAGAACCCCAACCAGAAAGTTTACATCCTCCTACTTGGCTCAAACTAATTGTTGTGGATTTAATTGACTGATGCCATGCTTTGATTTGGCCACCAATGGCTTTTTTCCAACTTGACCATATGTCAGCTAACATTGCCTATCGAAAGAGGCGATGGCTAGGCATGCGTAGCATATTTCCTAGCCATTTCAATAGATGTAACTTCACAGCCTTATCAATTAATTTCCCCTCCCACGTACCTAGCACTCGATGCCCAACCTCAGTATTGCTCACCCTATTATACCACTTCACATGGGAGATAGAACGAAGGCACCGGTTATCAAAGACGGCTAGCCTTTTCATATCTTCCACTCAATGGCCAGGTCTCACAGCCACAGAGGAAGACGGAGCGAACTGCTGAGCAGTACACACGCCTTTTGGTCGACAGCCAGCCGGATATCATGTCTACACCAGGGATGACGTAAACTGGCAAATACGAAACTAGCCTTCTGTATTCGTAATTCCATTATGCGTAAATTTTGTTTTGATAAAGTCTCACAGTGTTATACAGTAATGTTTACTGATGACGTTTCGAGCACAATTTATTGCTCATAATCATATCACCTTGATGTGATTATGAGCAATAAATTGTGCTCGAAACGTCATCAGTAAACATTACTGTATAACACTGTGAGACTTTATCAAAACAAAATTTACCCATAATGGAATTACACTCTACCACAGTGCACAAGTTTTATTCTTATATCAATGGTACTTCTGTATTCGTGCTGAGATTTCGTCAGCGATCAACCCGTTGGCACTGGCTGATGCAACTTCCTAAATAAGTGAAGTGGTCAACACGCTCCACCACTTCACTCGCTATTTCTAAGCTAGGAGTCAGTCCAGTCCTATAGCATCACCGTACATTTGGATGACATGAGCGAATCGCATGCGAAACATTCGCAGATTGCAACTCAATGTGTTCCAAAGACTCTGCTCTATTTTGTCAGCGTTTTCACCTAGAAGGACTATATCATCTGCATATTCTAAGCCAACGAAATTGTTCTCCGACAACAAGTCAATTCCTGAGTTGCTGAAGTCAGTTAGGGTGAAGTCCATTAGTACATCTATGATGAAATTAAATAGAAATGGGAATAGTGAGCATATCTGTCGGACACCACTAGTTTTCACCAGTTCAGATGACAACTCGCCGTAAGCCATCACCTGGCTGCAGGATTTCGAGTAAAGTGCTTTAATCAGTGCAATGTATTTTCTCGGCATTCCCTTCACAGCCAAACATCGCCAGAGAACCTCTCGGTAGACGGAATCGAATGCCGCCTTTAGGTCAAGAAATATAATGATTGTTGGACGCCGGTAAGTATGCTTATGTCCCAAAATCTGTCGAAGGGTGAAGATATAATCAATATACCCTCTCCCTGGTCTAATGCCTGCCTGGTTTTCTCGTGTTTGTGCCTTCCGTAGACCGCGTGGTCTACGCATTATTATTGAGCCTAAAACTTTAGATACCATATTAGTGAAGTTAATACGCCTGTGGTTATCACAGGAAGACTTTTCTCCCTTCTTAAGTAAAATAGGTAAGGTTAAAAGGGTGTATCTGCTGAGAATCAAATCCGGACGATGTGCATAGTTGACAAGCATTCTGTGATTGAATTAAAAAACGCACCTACATAACATTGGTCATGTCTTAATGCATGGATTAGTTTATGCCCTTTGATGTTGTTATTACTTATTCATCACAAGTGTCTAGTTTCCATTGGTTATGGACAGTTCTTATATAAGTTGGGTCCTGAATAATATCACCCTCTCTACGGCGTTCCTTAGATGTTGTGTTTTTATCACAGGGAACTGAAGTTGTAAGCACCAAGTCTTTTTTTCGGAACTATTGGTACTTTAGCCTGCCTTGACTTTTGATTCATATTCTTATCGATGAATTTTTCTGGGTAACCGTTCTCATTCAGCAACTGTTTAACAATATTAAGCTTTCCATTAAGGCATTCATCAAAGAAGATTGCTCTTGCTCTGTGGGCTAAGCACTTTATTAGATTACAATTGAATTTCAAAGATACGAAGCTGAATAAAGAGCATTCATTGCCGCTGTCTCTTCAAAGCCACCCCTATTTTGCGTTTGGGAGTTAAAGATAAACTATCTGATTTCACTTCTTCTATGTGTATCTATCAGTTTGACTGCGGCTGTGAAGCCAGTTATATAGGCCGTGCAATTAGACATGTTTATCGTCCCATTCCCGAACACCATCCTACTTGATTGTTTATGTAAAGGACAAACAAAATTCATTCATAGTTCTCTTCTATCTCATCTCGTAGATACAGATTACAAAACTGAGGTAAACAAGGCCTTCAAAGTCATCTACCGTTTACTAACTAAGCTTAGGTTTACCTCAAGAGTTCGGCTATTAAATATTGCTGAGGCTGTTGGAATCTGCATTAGGAAGCCTAATTTGTGTATCGAAAAGAAATTGGTTCACACTCTTATCTCGCTTTGGCTATCAAAGATTTTAACTATCCTTAAGTTGTTGCATAAATTCCATTAATTTTATCCGGTATTCTATGTAGCATAACATTTTTACGCTAATTATAACTCATGCCTCTTCCTTAAACTGCAGTTTTGTTGATCTCAACAAATCGACGGTACTTAAAGACGCCAATATTGTTAATGACGATGATTCTAAACTATTCTGTATGCAAGTATTGGTTTTGTAAGGATTAAGTTTGTTTGGATGGAGGATTTCATCATGAGCTGACATCAGTTAGAGAACCACTGGAAAACCTGGGAGTACTGGACAGCTGTTCCAGCCTAGTTTGGGACTCTTCATTAGTACGCACCCACCGGGGTTCGAACCCAGGACCTTCTGGTTACAAGGCGAGCCCGTAGACCACTGGGATCCGATCCAATGACCGTTACCAGTAGGGTACAGCAGGTTGAAGATGAGACAGTAACTCATCGAAGAAGACATTGTGAAATGGTCGCGCTATGTCATGAATTGGCAGAAGTTAGAATTCATGAACTTGTATCGGGTCCCAGTGGTTCAACGGTCTCGGAGCTCACCTTGTAAACAGAAGGTCCTGGGTTTGAACCCCGGTGGGTGCGCACTGATGAAGAGTCCCAAACTAGAATGGAACAGCTGTCCAGTACTCTCAGGTTTTCCAATGATTCTCTAACTTACATCAACTCATGATGAAATCCTCCATTCAATATTCTATATGCATGTAATTGTAGAACCGGAAGAGGAAATTGTCGACGATAATATTCTTTGCTCAATTTTTTTTGTCTTATAAAGTATTTATTCCTTATTCAGTCATTTTCGCGAAACTTTGAAAGAGAAAGTTTTGAATGCATCAAGCGACATTGCTTTTCAATATGAGCCAAAAGAATATTGATTCATCAGTGAAAGTAACCATTGTAATGTTGCTATGTTGATTAAACTCCTTAAATCACGTTTCCGATACGGTCATTAGTGTAGGTAACTTAACATCACGGTAAACTTTAAGTTGAAGATTAAGCATAGTATTCTTAGCGTAAATGTCATGCTCATGGACAACTTCAAAGAAAAAACTAATGTCCTCTGAGATATATTTGAATCTGCATCACTCATATTTCAATCAGAGATATTGAAACTGAGCTATTATGCCCTTGGGTTCTGAATGGAACACATAAGGCTTCAGCAGCATATCTCTGTTTCACACTGTGTTCTATGGTCTTTATTATAACTGGCCTTACGATATCCCATAAGCTTTAATTTCTTTTTCACAGGATCTCCTCCTCCATGTTACCCTTGTAATCTCTCGTAACTTGTCGTTTTCCATTTGAGTTCCACTTGACGGCTGGGCTACTGAAAAGAATTCGCCTAAGTAATTAATTACAATAGTAGAAAACAGTCCTGTCACTCGTAAATTTTTGTAAGCAGAGAATTTTCACAAATTTTCAGGTACAGTGGGTACTTAGTTTTCTACTCGTCCATTTCATTACTTTTTAGTAGTTGAAATATACACTTCACTTTTCTAAAATGTATCGATATACTTTATTTCAAATAAAGTCTCCGATGTTGATAGTATTAGATAGTTCCTCTGTCCTAATGAGCTGATTGAGTTTCATTGTAGAACTTCGCACACAAGAGTAGAAAATCAAGTTTCAACACTCACTGTAGCATACAGAGATAAAAGAAAGAGCTTCAAAAGAAGTATAATCAGTAGAAATATGTGAAAGACAGGAAAATAATATAGCAAAACATGAGAGTTTAATGTGTTTGGGAGATCACAAAGAGTGAATACATACGAACTGTGATCAAGATTTGACCGGATAGTTGCAAAATAACTTTATAAAGAGTGAGTACGTTTGAGCTATTGGGAATAATCTTAATCCATATCACCGATGGTCTCCAGTCATTGGATTTTGGTAGCTCAAGGATTCCAAACAGGTAGTCTACACTCCCTACGTGGCTGAAACCAACGGTCGAAGACTTCATGGATCGATTCCAGGTTTGTGTTTGACTACCCTGAACTCTTTTCAAACCTAATTATATGTCAGCTACCAATGCTGGACGAGGAAGATGGCTATCGAAGTCTGTAATACAGTCCACTGATGCTGATAAAGATGTAAATAAGTATGGAACTCATGATGATTACTTCTCAGTACCGAATCGCATTTCAATATAATATTCAGCAGTCATTCACATATGTATATATTCATTTATAAATTTGACAGTTGGGCGTGTATTTGTGCATGGAGTTTTGATGAATGGAAATATGTATACTCAGCTGGTCAAACTTCAATGGACAACAACCGGAAGTCGTGTACTACCTGTGTGTATCGCGCAGGTCGTTTTTTCTGTCAGTCTTTATGGCTGTAAGATATCAGCATTGAAAGTGTAAGATATGGAGAATTTAGCTTTCTTTGACCAGTGGTGCTTGAGTTCTATCTGCCGTGTTGATAAATAGTATAATAATTTCATCCATCAAAATGCTTTAAACTCTTTTGCACTTCTTGTTGATTTAATTGTTGAATTATATCAAATGACTAATACATGCACTCGCGCACATGTTTAATTAGTTTCTCATTATATGTTATTGAATTGTAGAAAAAATGTACAAATAACGTACTTCAGATTATCGCTTTACATGTAAATTCTGTTTGAAGAGAAAATATTTTGGAACTAAATACTTTGAAAATTTCTGTGATATATGTTCACATATTGTCTGAAATAAAGCTTTTCTATCATTATAGTAAAAATATGGTGACTAATATTCACTTTGGTCGTAGTGTTCAGTAAGGATGGTAAGTCAGTCACTGAGATTGTAAAGTTGCATCGATTAAGATGGTTAAGAGAGCCATTAGGCGTGCTAAGCCTCTGCCATCCTTGCTGAACAATGTTAACTGACCTAGGATTGGGTTAGAAAAGAGTGAGGAGTGGTCATACTAAACATGGTATCAATGCATGTCTTTGACATATATCAAGTTATTGACAGTTGATTTGAGGCAGTCACGTAATAATGTGCAGACTGTCTGGTTCAGTGCTTGGGGTTAGGGACTGTTCGACATATGGTTTAAAACCGTTCTCAGATGCGCAGATGATGCATTCATCGTGTAGTTTTCGAAACACACTAACTCTATGATTTTCTAGGTTACTATTTTTTTCGCCCATACATTTCTACTCATTAGTTTTATTTTGGAAATTCTCCTTTTCTTTGCCTCTATGTGCAACGGGGATTGTAGCAACTTTAAGTGCTGCACATTTCTGTGCAGGGTTCTACATTGAAACTCAGTCAGGGGGAAAGCTGTCGTATGCCTAATTCTGAATCATGAGACTTTCTTTCCAACTTATCTGTGTATGTATGACTATATTTCTATATGGTACACAAGTGTACTGTTTTCTTTTTCCACACACAGGCTTACAGATTCACAGTCATTTCTTGAGAGTATTGAAGCGTTAAAATGTCAATGTGATCAAGTTAGTCAAGTCAATGAACAACTAGCTATAACTTTAATGAAGTTACAAAAGGACAGGATTGCGCTGAAAATATTTCTAGAACGTTTAATGCCATTAGAGACAATATAACATCAATCTACAATCAATTGTTTCTGTAATATTTTAAGCATATTCCTTCACTGTAATAAGAGACATGATATCAATAATATTGACACGATACATTTCATACCTGCTATGATCAACAGTAACAATGTGCATGCCATCGTTGTGATAGATGTATAACATGTGTCCACAACACAAAAATTTCTTAACTACGTCCTATTTCGATCTCTTCTTGTAATATACGTATATACATCTCATATACTTATTCTTCGCCAAGAGCCTCTTGCCAGTGAGTCTATGTGTGAAGAGGGGAAGACTGTGTGTGTGAAAGCGAGAGAAGAGGGAATTAGAATTCGTATATCTATTTCTCTGTATCTGTGTGCTTGCATGTTTGCGTATTCGCAGGTAATTGTATAATCGGCTTTGCTTATGTCTCAGTCTTATGCGGTGAATAAATAATTGATGCCTTTGGCGTTTTCAACATTTGCATACATACTATTCATTACTACACTTTACAAAATAAGAAAAAATAGTTTTTTTTTGTCAAGCATTTCTACCGTCTTATTTTTGAAGTCATTGTTTTTATGTTTGGATAATATCAGACTATGATTCATGTATACATACATATATTATTTCTTCAATTCTTAAAACAAGGATAACGACTTAATTTGATCGTTGTCAATTCGTTATTTGCTTTGTTCCCACTGTTGATATTTTCCACTGTGAAGTAAACCTGGAAATATTCACTTTGTATTCATGTATGTATAATTAACTTTTGTTTCATTTTTATGTTTTAATTTCATTGTATTGAGTCCAGGCATACCTCTATGGATTTCTTGTAATTACCTAAATACATTGATTATAATAATCCAGCTGATATAAGATTGGGTTTTAGAAGAGTTATAAGTGATCAAGCCGTAGTCTTTGACTATGGGTTTCAGCCACAATAGACTGTCTGGTTTAATGTTCTCGGTGATATGGATGTCGTTTTCAGTGACGCAGATGATGCATTCACCTTGTAGTTTTCGAAACATATTAAATCCTCATGGTTTTTAAGGTTATTATTTCTTTCTCCCATACATTTCTGCTCATTATAATTCACTTGAATCTCTTTTCTCTATCTTTGTGTTCTATACGGAGTGTGGTTACTTGAACTTGTTTAACTACTGTGGAAAGTTCAATTTTGAAACCCGGTTATAATACAGTTGTCCATTTCAAGAAATATTTACTGTAAACACCAAAAAGTACTGAATATCTGTATCATCCTAGTTTGCGGCTCTTAAGCAGTGTCCATCCATGACAACACAAGTGCTGTCTGGATTTCAATAGTTCTGTAATGGATATCAGTCGCTGATGTAATCTACGTTGAAGTCAATGAATTGCTTATATCCTTATCAATTAAATTGAATTTCATCTAGAGTTTACTGACTGCACCCATTCCATGATTAATTCGGTTCAATAAGCACCTGTAGGAAGTATTTTTGGGAATTGTTTTAGTGTACATACTGATGAACGCTTAAGTGGGTATCTCTGTTCGCCTGATACCCCTTTAATTATTCGTATAGACGTGTTATAACCAAATGCATCATTCCTATCGTATTCGTTGTTATACATATGACCAGTTACCAGCTTTGTACTTTGAAAACTGTTGATAACATGGCTTAAACTCGTTCTGAACAATGCACAGGTGTACTTAATTCTTTTTAATCCCGCGGATTTTGAAAATTCTTTGTAAACGTCTAATTTCCTCTTACCTGTCGTACTTCTCCGTCACTGATCTTCTTTCTCCTACTTCTATATCTTCTTGACCAATTTGTGGCAAAGTGAACCGGCGCACTTTTGTGCAAAAACCTACTTTGTTAATTCGTCCTTGTGTCTGTATAAATATCTATATCTGCATATGTTTAATTAAGGATATAAACTAACTGTTCCATTGTTAGTGTTTAGATTGTCTGACAGAATTGTAGGCGTCGTATCACCATACAGATTACTACTACTACTGTGGTTGTTGCTCTTGCGTGATCCTGTCGTGTACACGGTCCGATTGGTGCTAATCGAGGTAGTTAAATATGAAATTATTCAATTATTACTATTCTCAGCACAGATTTATATCAAATTAAAGTACACATTCAACGCATGGTAGTGAGTAGCAGTATTTAGCCTCGTGTAGGGAGGTAAAGTAAGTTCTTCTATATGAGTCAGGACAAACACTTCCAACAACCATTTGCAGACCCTTATCAACAGCTACCTTCGCTTAATGCTGAAGATCAGATGGCGAGAAAGAATTAACAACAAAATGCTCTGGGGACGAACTAATCAAGAACCTATTGCTCAACAAAATACCGAAGAAAATGAGTCAGATACTTGCTGAGGAGACCATTGGGTGACATTGCGTGCCAGGCTCTCGAGTGGAACCCGAATGGGAAACGAAAAGTTGGATGTCCGAGGATGACATGAAGAAGTTTGCGTGAGGAGATAGCCTATGGGCAATCATGGGAGGACCACAGAAAATAGAACCCAGTGAAGATGTGCTGTTGAAGCCCCGTTTTCCACTTGGAACCCAACGGGATAATATATATATATATATATCTGTGCGTCGGTGGTATAGCGGTTAGGACACTCGCCGACCATGCATATGGTCAGGGGTTCGATCCCCGGCCGACGTACTCCTTTACCTCGCTAAGCCAGTAATAAAAGCTGGTAAAGAGAGAAGGTTAGGTATGAGGCTAGCAACCCCATCCTGTAAAATTAAACACTGCTACAGAAACTTCAAGCCTTCTAGCTTGAAGCCCTACGCTCCACTTGGAATATGAAGGAAAAAATATATATTGTTGAGGTTAGCAACATCTTATTTCAATCCCATTGAGAGAATTGCTTTGATATACTTATGTTCACATAGTTTAGGCGACTAGTACATACTAATCTGTTAATATTTTTACTGAGCCACACACGATGCATTAGATGACTCAAGCAATGTTGAAGGTATAAAGTGGAGTTGGTGGATAAATAGTATGCCTGTATGAAACCAAGGCTAGTCAGGATATACAATGTTAATCGGGGCAAACTACAATAAGCCTTATAGTCAGCATTCACAGTTTTCAAATGATATCAATTAATGTTATTGGATAGATAAGAATGGTCACATATAATAACTCAGGTAAGAAATTTACATAGCTTTGAACAATATTCAGTGATTTCACAGGATGTTTCTTCTGTCAATCTTTCAACGTTATCCTACTCCTACTAATATAGCATCAAGTGTTCCGGTAGGGCCTGAGTTGACATGTCCAGCATACTATGTTAGTCACTGATATGTAGTCACATGCTGTGTGTTTTGTTTTTGACAGTCTGTTATATTTTGCTATTTGTATATGGATCGATATTCCATTATAACTGACAATATGCTTTTGCCTGTCCACTAACTAAATAAACATGTATGACCTTGTTATCATATGACATTACAACCAATCATAGTAAGATGTTATCTTATTGGTTCATGTGTATCAGCCATTTTCATATATACTTTTGTATTAGACCCTTGTACATTCTTGTTCCCACGTTTCATACACTTCGTACCATTTCACTCACACTCTTGTGTGACATTTATTTTCCTTGTCTGGAAAATACAAGTATCATCGTAAACCTGGTGGTCTTCTGATTTCACTCTTTCCGCGTCAGGGCTATTAACTACTCGACCAGTACATAACAATAATTGGCGACGGGGAAAACTCAATTAACTCAATCAGCAGCAGTACATAACAGTCACATGAAGCAATAAATAAAATAAATAAATTTTCCTTCACGTTCCCAGTGGAACATAGGGCTTCAAGCCATTGGTTTGAAGTTTCTGTAGCAGTGTATGTTTTTACAGGATGGGGTTGCTAGCCTCATACCCAACCTTCCCCCTTTACTAGCATTATTTCTGGCCCAGTGAGGTAAAGGAGTGCGTCGACCGGGGATCGAACCCCGGACCATGTGCATGGTCGGCGAGCGTCCTACCGCTATGCCACCGACGCGACATGAAGCAATACAGATACATAAATTCCTTGATGGACGTTTCCACCTTTATTAAGAATCCAAAAGCTCCTATCACAATACTTACGTGACGTGTGTACTATGTACCAGCAATAATTCCAAGGCCCTAATTGGCGAAAACGTGGTCCACATAAATAACCTACTTTTAGCGGTCATATTTCGTAGCTCTATATCCAGACAGAACACACGTTGCTATGCAGTATACTAGCACTAAAAATCTGGTTATCTAGCAACAGTCAAATAAACCTGTATCCTTAGACAGATTCAGCTGGGAACCTATAAGTAATAGTATATATACATAGTTTGTATTCTTGAAGCGACCACTGAGCATGTGATTTTCGTTTACATTAAACAAAATGAAATGGAATGTTCAAATACATACATAGTATTCTGTTGCTAATGCAGTTTTGAACTGTGGTAATATGTGAGAATAATATTTTTTGGCAGACACTGTCTGTATCACACCATAAAAATAGTACCTTCAGAGTAAGTGGAATAACGCGTCTAACTACCTTTCCGCATGTAAAGACCCAACTTGAAGAAGCAGTTCACATCTGATAGAGGATAAGTGTCCCAAAATGTTCAAATGGCTTCGTTCAACAGGATTATGTTGTATGCATATTCGGTTGAAATGGAGCGGATATTCTTAGTGAACGGTATGAAATGCAGACACATTTCTTTAGGCTCAACTTATGATGGAATATGATACGAAGCGGCTAAAACCAGCATAAACCGGTCCATGGTAGCTAGTTAAAACAAAATCAGTCGGGATTGAACCAGCGTGGAGAAATTAAACCATGCGCTAAATCAGGATGTTTATTGAAATGCGATTGGATAAACTAGAAGCCTGACCTTTCAGAGATATGTAATATTTGTATATAATGTACTTTTGCATAGTAAAACTGAATTGTTGTTACGGCAATTACCACAGTTTACCATCATTTTCGTCAGCCCTTGTGGTCAGAAGTTATCTGTGACTGAGCTTAGATCAGCAGAACTGTTACATCGCCACTGACATAAGAGAACTGGTGAGTCATCGAATCAAATAATTTGAGCTACGCTGTGTGGATAAATCTCGATGGGCAGGTAGTAGGTGATCAGCACATTCATATTACTAACAAGGTAACGGTCACTACTAGATGTAACTGATAAATGCGGAACGATGTCGAGTTTTACTTTATGTTAAAATATGCATCAGTATTATCTAATAACAATAACGACAACAAATCATTCATACTTCGCGTTAAATCACATCCTTTTAGTTTTTGCCTGATTGAACGAGTCGAATAGAGGGGGCCAACTACGATTTGAATTTCTTCAGATAGTTACTCTCAGGTGGTTTTGTATTGCTCCTGTTTACGAGAATGCTACAATCCTATCAGATGCTGTGTTTGCCTGTTTTAAAATAGGTTTGAGGATTTCATCGTGAGTTGATACAAGTTAGAGAATCATTATAAAACCTGGGAGTACTGGACAGCTGTTCTATCCTAGTTTAGGACTCTTCATCAGTACGCACCCACCGGGGTTCAAACCCAGGACCTTCTGTTTACAAGGTGAGCTCCGAGGCCGTTGAGCCACTGAGACCCGATCCAATAGCAAGTCCATGAATTCTAACTTCTGCCAATTCATGACATAGCGCGACCACTTTGCAATGTCTCCCTCGATGTGTTACCGCATCACCTTCACATTACTGGTCACGGCCTCCTACTAAAACCCCAGGTTAACAGCCTGAATCGGACCAGTCGCTAATGAGCATCAGATTAATGTTCAAGTATTGGTTTTGTAGGGAATTTTGTTGGACTGTTTTATCGATTCGCTTTTTCCAACTGTAAAATGTGTCGTGATGTTTGCCATCCTTTGCATGAAAACACCTTCCCACCATTTTAATCTACGAGTTAAAAGTTAACCAACCAAAGCGGAAGAGATGGTATACCAAAGTCATCTGAAGTAAAAAAAATCAATAGTGGATTTATATTTCAACGATCAATGAAGTATTTTGAGAACGAGAGAGAGCTGGTAAAGAAAGGAAGCTAAGACGTTAATTACTGTCTTCTAAAATCAGTATTCTCGAAGAATTTTGTGACAAAATATGAGTACTTCTACTTATATATTGCTTATTTTATATATTATTGGAAATCAAAAGAATATACTACAGAAGTATTGTATAAAATGATATTAAAACAATAGTGTGACACTGGGATTCATTACATAACACCTCATCTTGTGAAATATACAAGCGAGGAAATGAAAGAAGATAAAAAAGGCAAAAGTCACAAAGCAGCTTTATCGGGGATTCAATAGAAAAATATAAATATTATTATTTGATTAGGTTACATTCAACCACTCTACTACTCACTGCTCCCACTGTTATCTGTCTTTGTGCCTTTATTGAATAATTGCTGTAGAGGGAAATATCCTGAATTACAATAGGAACACTATTTCTGAATGTACACACTACTTCTCTCATCAATACATATGGATCGACGATAAGCATGCATAATTCTTGTTAACCATCCTATCAACTTTGATCTAAACCCCTAACAGCCAATACACCTGCCCATTGGTCAGAACCACAGGCTTTTCGTAATCGTAGTCTAACCTGATTGTTTTTTATCTAAAAAGTAGACGGAAAGAATGAATAGTATACAGAAAATATTATATATATATATATATATATATATATATATATATATATATATATATATATATATCTTTGTCATTATTGATTTTAATACAAAAGTATGGTCGTCAAGATGAAAAAGACTTATCACTACCCTTTCAAAAATCTGCAAAAGTAGTGACTAGATTTAATTGACTACAGTGTAGTTCTTAGTGTTTGACTGACTATATTCCCTTTAGCCAACAGCAGGTAAATAACGTCAAAATCCCTTCATCAATAAGCTTAATCAAAGATAAACAAAACTACGGAGCCCTATAATTAACTAACAGTAGACTATGAACCACACCTGGTTTAAAGAAGAGGAAGGCTAGTGGATGTTACCTATTCGGTAACTCACACTGGGGTACACAGAGCGGAAATAAAGTCGGGGGTCACCAACTAACTAGAAAAGTAACCGCTAGAGTCAATGAGCCGAAACCTAACAAATTTGAATAGCAGCAGGATTTCAACCAATAGCCTCCTGATTAATAACCAAGATGAACCACGAGACATTTATCACTGGATACGAGATGGTGAACAACATGTCACTAGCTAGTATTCAAACCTGAGTTACTGCGTCCAAAATGCAATATCCTGGATGTTACAACACTGCGACTAGTACGAAATGTAGTGAAGAAATTGGTTCAGGAAATGAAGCCAAGTAAACTTGAAAGTTATAAGCCATCCAAATATAGTTAGATTAATGATAAATATGTCAAAATGATTTGAAGAGTACTATACCACAAAGAAAATTAACTAATAGGTACTGCAGCCCCAGTGGAATGATGTATTAAGAAATTGTGTAAGGATGTCTGACTGAGTTCCAACGTAAAACTTTGTACAGAATTTCAAGTTATCACACTCTGTGTAGAACACAAAGGCAGAAGAAAGGGATCCAGAAGGAGTATAATAAACAGAAAATTGAGGGAAAATCATCAGGGTTTAGTCGATATGACAGATCACAAAGAGTGAATGCATCTGTAACATTGAGCCTTATCATCATCTTGAGGGCAAAAACCGGGCAATCTACGCCACCCTATATAGTTCAGACTAACTGTCAAAAATTTCATGGCCTGATGCTAAGTTTTGGTTTGACTACCATTAAATTTTCCCACCTGATCCTATGTCAACTATCATTGCCCATTGAGGAAGGTGATGGCTCGGAATACGTAACACATTTCCCAATCATCTTAATCGATTTATCTTCACAACCTCATCTGTTGACTTCCTCTCCTTACACCCAACACTCGACGCCTAACTTCAATATTACCCGGCCTATTATACCATCATTACATTAGAGGTAGGGCGTAAACATCTGTTTAAGGATGAGAAAGGCTTTCCAAGACACTGCGTGTGTGTGTAAAACACTTTTTTTCAATGAATAAAAAGCAGTTAGCGTTCCATTGGCACTTATATTATACCACATATATACATATATCAGGTGTTATATTAACAGAAAGTAAGTAAAGTCACAATTAACAACCATCACTATTAAATCAAAACTCACTTTATACGTACAAAATGTTGGCATAATTTTCGATGGAAACCGACGTACGTGATATTCAAATGTGTCATTAGGATTGGTCAATTCGCATAGCACAGATAATGTGCTGATTAAATTTTATTAGATATTAGTGATGAAATAAGAGAAAATCAGTTAAAAGTTGTTAGAAAAATGATTAAGTTCCATTATTAACACTAAGGATTTCATAGACAAAAATTAAAAAAAACTAATGTAATTAAAAAGTAAGCAGTGTGTATTAATGATTCAATATTAGAATGTTTGTCTGTCAACCACGCCTACAAGTGGTGTGGATTCGACCCCTGGCCGACAGACGCACTCCTAAACCTTATTAACCAGGTGTAAACCTCGAGAAAGAAGGAAACTTCGGTTAGAGTGAGGCTAAGATAACCCAACCAGGTCAAAAACATCGCCAGTGCTAGTGACACTTCCAAAAAAACCTTGAAGTCTTATGTTCCACTTGGAATGCAAAAGGAATGAAAAACAAATGCATATAAGGTATATAAGTTAGCTGTTTTATAGAATGTCAACAACAAGAAGTTTTGGACCTATTTAAGGGTAAAAAAGGAAGAGAAGTGATTCAACAGAGAGACCTTTTTCAACGAATTTATTAACAAAGCTGTACAGTTGTGTGTATATGAATATTTTTGAAATATTAGTGTGAGATGAGCGAAAATATTTGTGATTACAATCAACTTGATATGATTATGAGCAATAGTTTGTGCTCAAAACGTCATCAGGTAATACAACTGTACAACACTGTGTGATTTATCAAAATAAAATCTTATCCATAATGGAGTTATACTCTACCACAGTGCCCAAGTTTTATACTTATATCAATAATTACAATCATAATTAAATAATTAAGCGACAAAATAGGTTATATGACTTGTGTAATAGTTCTTAAAATGTATTAATATGAGAAAGGAGTGTAAGTGTAGGATTAAATGGACTAGTATACAAATGAAAAATCACGTAATAAGCTGGAAGTTTCGACGATAGAACATTGCAAATAAACTGTACTGAATTGAATGAATAAACAGTGATACGTGAGATAATACCGAAAAATAATGAAGGATGGATATTCAGATTGATTAAACACAACGAGAAATAATTAAGGCCACAACCTTCTCTTTCAAAGTTATATATAGGGTCGAAAATAATCTGCCAAAATCACCAGCACGTATCCGGCTCATCTGCATCGCTGAAGCTATGATCATTGAGTTTGTTGAATCACTCCTTTCATGGTCTAAATTCGTCTATATAGAATTATTAACAACTCCATTCCTCAATTATTTTTCGTTTTGTTTATTCATTCCGTATTTCCAATCCTTATTACCCCTATTGATATCAGTATATTGTCTTTGAACAATTCCTGGTGTTTCCTCACTTGAAACCCCTTATTTATTTAATTCAACAAATTTCCTTTGCAATATTGTTTCATTCAAGTGTTGGTTTGCAGGGATTTCAGGATGACCTCACATCGGTTAGGGAACCATTGGAATAAGCGCTCGGAGTACTGGACTGCTGTTTCGTCCGAGTATGTGACTCTTCATCAGTAGGCACCCACCGAGGCTCGGACCCAGGACCATCAGGTTACAAGACAAGCTCGTAAACCAGCTGTTCATGAATTCCAGCTTCTGCCAATTCGTGATATATATATTTAGCCCAACTGCCAGCCAGTGTCACAAGCGAGTAACTGACCTCTCAATAACGATTATTAACATCATTTTCCTAACCAACGTTTCGGTGACTTTGAACACTTGCTACATTAAGTATTTTAAAATTTGTCTCCATGTGGATTCATAAAAACCCAGCTTTTCTCAACACTTTCTTGTGTCGTGTAGCCTCTAGTCTAAACTTACTAAGCATCACCGCCTTAGTTACAATTTGATAAGTCTGTTCAGACGACTGCCTCAATGAAGAGCTTAAGATTATTAGAGATTTACTTGGAAAAGTTGTTGCATAAATTGCATTGATTTTATCCGGTATTCTATTTAGCATTACATTTTTACGCTAATTATAACTCATGCGTCTTCCTTAAACTGCAGTTTTATTGATCTCAACAAATTGACGGTACTCAAAGACGCCAATATTGTTAATGGCAATTATTCTAAACTATTCTTTATGAATGTAATTGTAGAACCGGAAGAGGAAATTATCGACGATAATATTCTTTGCTCAAATTTTGTTTTTTGTCTTATGGATATCCGAATTAGAATTTTCGCTATATAGTCAGAACAAATTGGTACCCAGATACCCTATGCATCTTCGTAATATATTCAAAGTGGGGTTCACACCCTTTGATTGAAAGTGAAGTGTTTAGACCAGTGAATTACAGTTTGTAATAATTAAAGGACTCCTCAGAATTAATCGTCAAACAAATATGGGATAAATGAGATATTCTTATTAATTGTATTCACACTGAAGGGTATGCGCTATCTAGCGATGAAATGTTAGTCTTACAGACTGAGATAGTGATAGTTGATTTGTAAAATTTGCATTAAATTTGTGGGACAAGCAGCCAGAAAAAATCAAAGACCAAAGATTCATTGAAAACTGAACAAAACAATAACTTACTATTCACCCAGTTCCACTTTCAGCAGGCCATTGGCTAATTGCTCACGAATACTTGATGATGTTGAACTACATGAATCTCCCCGAAAATTACCTGAACAACCGGGTTTAATAAGTCCACAAAATCCTCGTGAAGGTGCTTGTAAACCTTGCATAATCAGTGTCACTTGTACATCATTTGCATTCAATTCACTTGTCTCAATATATGGTTGTTTTGCCTTCAAAAGGAATAGAAGTGTCAGAAACATAAATGACGCTCACAACATTCGCAAAAATAATACGACCAACAGACTGAGTTTCATTGTAGAACTTCGCACACAAGTGTAGAAAATCAAGTTTCAACACTCACTGTAGCATACAGAGATAAAAGAAAGAGCTTCAAAAGAAGTATAATCAGCAGAAATATGTGAAAGACAGGAAAATAATATAGCAAAACATGAGGGTTTAATGTGTTTGGGAAATCGCAAAGAGTGAATACGTCTGAGCTATTGGGAATAATCTTAATCCATATCACCGATGGTCTCCAGTCATTGGATTTTGGTAGTTCGAGGATTCCAAACAGGTAGTCTACACTCCCTACGTGGCTGAAACCAACGGTCGAAGACTTCATGGATCGATTCCAGGTTTGTGTTTGACTACCCTGAACTCTTTTCAAACCTAATTATATGTCAGCTACTAATGCTCACCAAGGATGGCAATGACTCAGGATGTGCAGCACGCGTTGTGGTCATCTCAATCAATTCACCTCATCAAATCACTTTAAGACTAACCTCATTATTGCTCACCATATCATACCGCTTAACACAAAAGACAGAACGGAAACACCTAGAGTCAAAGACGTTTAGTCTTTTCATATCTCTCACTTTCAATGGCCCTGGCTCACAATCATAAAAGAGGATTGCTGTGTAGTATACATGTCTTTCGGTGGATAGCCAGACATGAAGTCTGTGCCAGAAACGACCTAAACTGGGAAATAACACACTAGCCTTTTGTATCCGTGTTGAGATTTCTTCAGCAATCAAAATAGTACGGGAAAATGAAAGGCACATTTCGGAAACTAAAATTCGTAACACTTAAATTTTAAAAAATGAAGCACCAGTGTCCGTTAAACAAAAATACAAATTCCTACACATAAAATGGTGATCACTTGAACAACAATGCAATTCAAAGAAGGATTTAAGACAATTATGCATATGCACATATATGTTCAAATTCAATATTGAAAACCATTCATAACTCCTCCTCCGTAAAAGTAAACAAACATAAACGAAAAACATAATAAACAAAAAGGGAGAACCGGAAAAAACGAGTGGACAGCATACTGAACAAATGTAAAACTAGATCACCCAAATGTGTGTGAGTGTACGGTGGGAGTGAGGGTGGAGGGTAGGTAAACAATGGTAAAACGAGCATGTTGAAAAATTTCTCAACTTGTAACTTTCTGTTCCTTCAAAATTGAAACCCCCAACTTACTATGAAATCATTTGGCTGTAAACATGAGTTGAGAAGTAACCTTGTAAAATGTTACACTACTAATATGGATACAATTCTAAAATATAACAATAATAATAATGAAATGCAATCCAGAAATCACGTAGTCACTATTCGATTACCACCTTTTGAGTCAGTATCAGTGAAAGCTAAATGACGGATCATCCAAAGGATTACATACTTCGTTCAAACCAATAGATTATGAGAAGTTAGATTGCATCACATTTATCACCAAACAATAGCTATAGCGTATACGGTGCTATACAATTCATGAATCGGGTAAAATATACAACCCTATTATACAGCACCCTTGTACAGTAAAAAAAGAAATACGATAAGTAAAGACCACCAGTGTCAGTCAAATAGTTAGGAATCAGCTGTTCGGAACTGATTTTTTCGTCCCATTGCATTCCAACTAGAACATACGTCTTGAGCTACGAAGTTCCAGGAGTGGTAGTGTTTTAGCGCGATGGGGTTGTTAGCATTAGCCCAATTTTCCCTCCTTACCGGCTAGACGAGTTTTAAGAGTGCGTTCGTTCGTGGGAAGTCGAGCCTGAATCACTTGCAGCGTGGTTGGTGAGCATTCAATCGTCAAACCGCCAATGAACGTAAAAGGCCTGATGATATGCTACCTACTTGCCCAGGCTGAAGTAGGCAGGGGGTAGAACGCTAATCCATTGGTTGAAACTTAGGTTATTAAGCAACTTCTCGACTTAATTGGTTTTTGCACGGGTGAATGAGTAGTAGCATTTTTAAAATATTGATGAGAGAATGGAACTGTGATTTGAATCTTGACGACAAACATACCGCTAAACACAGAATTAATGACACAGACACTAGAAGATAAATGTGGTTGTAGTGAAAAATTCAACTCATTCCAAATAAATACTTTGGAATTATACTGAAGATCCGCGTTACACTACAGTAGAACTAAATAAGTATAAACATCATAACATACATCTTCATAGATTATTGATAAGTGAGAATTACATATTTCTTTAAAACATTGACATGAAATGTCTTCTCCTTCTTCTAGTTTGCAATACGGTGCGATGTTAAACTTGTTAGATGGAATTGAATTTTTTTCTGATAAATATTACCATTACTACAGATCATGTTGATAACAAATCATGACGCTGAATGGCTACTTAACTTAACTTCTTCCTATTTTCATTGAACTAAGGTTTCATTAGTGAGCTGATATCAAATACTACAAGTCTTATCACACGAGCTCATCCCACCGAGTAACTATTCTTTCTTCTAAAAATTAACCACAGTAAAAGTTGTCAACTGTTGTTTGATTTCAAGTTAGATCAAGGACTGACATCAAAAAAAGAATCCCTGAGGACCAACGAGCACTAAACAATTGTTTCCTCTTAGTTTGAGACCCTTTCATAGTGCGCACCCATAACCCCACCGATAGGGATGAAAACCGGGACCTTGACGTTACAAGACGAACCCCCAAACCATTCAACTACTGAGACGAAATCCAATGATCTATGAATTCTAACTACTGTCAATCTGCGCGACTTTCTCGTATTCTGAAAGTACTGATTTCGATTCTTCTCTGTGGGATCATGCGTGTGCACTACTGAGTAGTATCAAGCTAGAAGGAAACAGCTGTCTAGCATTCCGTGGTTCTCAATAATTCTGTAGCTGAAGTCAGCTTGTGATTAACCTAGAAAACAATAACCGTTGACAGGTGAGACATACTGCGAGAAGTCAATTTTTCAGAGGTCATTTTGTGTGTGTACCCTAGCTAAACGCATAATCAATCAGATAACTGTCCACACTGGCACATAGCGTAAAGTAGTGAAAAAAGATAAAGATGTGAAATAATCATAATCAAATTTCGGCTTGTGTAAATACGAAAAGTATACCATAAAAGTTCACCAATCCAGGCAAATAAATAACAGAAAAGGTGAAAATAATGAGTTGAAAAGTCAAAAAGAGATACTTGTAAATATTTTTTTATATTTTTATTTCGTTGAAGTTTCAGTTAGAATTTTACTAAATGCATGCAATATAAGTAGTGAATATAAATATACATATAAAGAAAGTGGCAATTAATTATGGTTAAATATCTTGTATTGAGGCTTATATACATCTACATACACACACACGTGCAACCCCCACAGCTATTTTCTCCAGTTATTCGTTAAATCATCATTACCATCACTATATAGCAGTCATATATTTTAAATAATGAATTAATAAAGAGTTATCATTAAAACCAGGTGCTTTCATCATTCGTATACCAGGATATACACGAAGTTGGTAATTCAATAAATGTCTTGTATTATGAGATTCAACAGATAAACTTGCTGATGCTGATGATTGTGGTGATGATGAGATATCCGAAAGTCCAGATGAAGCCAATAATCTCCATGAGTGGTCAGAAGAAGAACTTGACAAGAATACAGCACATGGTTTCACTCTACCGTTTCTGTTGAAAACTGACTCTTTTTGACTATTGCTGTAATGTTCGCCTACATCATCATCACCACTGTGATAAGCACGTGTAAGCGTCGTATTTTGGTTAGACAGCACTGTGTTGTATTGATAAACATCGACTGTACCATCAATATGCACGACACCAATATGTTGTTCAGAGTTGTGATCAGTTTTACTTTTCCCAGAAATTATTGGTGGAGAATTATTCACAAGAATTTGAACTATCTAATATTTAAACAGAAGAAAATTTAAGAAAAAAGACAAATTTAGAAAAAATTGCAAACCATACAAGTAACTAATGAAAAATACATTTTACTCTTAACGGCCACCAAGTCAGGTAAGAGAACAGTTGGTTGGTGGTTGAGCAATATAAGTATAAAACTTGGGCAATGTGATAGAGCATAACTCCATTATGGGTCAGATTTTATTTGATATGATTATGAGCAACAGTTTGTGCTCGAAACGTCATCAGTTAATATTACTGTACAACACTGTGTGATTTATCAAATAAAATCTCATCCATAATGGTTGAGTAATATATATATATATATATATATATATATATATATTGCAGAGGTTGAATTTCATAGGCCATTGGACCGGGTCCCACTGGCAGAGTAATCACGAGCTCGCCTTGTAACCAGAAGGTCCTGTGCTTGACCCCCAGGTTGGTACCTACTGATGAAGAGGCAACTGTCTAGTATTCCCTGACTTTCCAACAGTCCCCTAACTGATGTCGTTTTGTGATCAAAACCTGTAAATAATCAAGTCCTTACAAATCAACACTTGAAAAGTTAGCAACTTAGTCAACAATTACTGTCTTTCTTACTTTTGACAATCACAACTATCAACTTCCCTGTGGTGAAGCTAGTTAATACTTTAGAAGACGAATTAAGTCTAGGAACGCCTCATTTCCCTATCGGAAGCATTTTCTTCGGTAAAATGAACATAACATACGCAGAAATGAAATTGTTTATACAGCCAAGATGTTAAGATGCATGCCAAATAGTCAGATGACTGGTCAACAGGAGGAATAAGGAAACTTCAAATGATGTGCCTGAAATACGTTCACTCAGCTTACAAGCCATCTGAGTATTCTCGTAACTTCACTCGTCAAAACTTGTCATGTATATATGCACCCACATTACAATATGCGCCTTATTATTGTGACGGTTCATGTGTAGTGACCCATTTTATTATTCCTCATCGTAGTATACTTTCACCATGTAATTGGACTTTGATTTGTTTATCACCCTAAAGATTACGTGTTGACAATTGACACATTGTACTCACCCAACTTTTGAATTTTGATTACTACAACAACACACGTTCGTACTCCTTCTCAATTACCTTTGGATTTACGTTATGGATGTCGAGTAATCACAACGTTCGGACACAATAATAAACGCCAAGAAGTACTAGGATATACGTGTACGCTAGTGTGGTCAAATAGGGCAACACAATACATGAATGCTTGCACATCGCCAAATGGAAAGGAAATCTAAATCTGTGACTCTGAAAAGAGATCGCTCGGGGAAACGAATCAATTTTCCCCATGAATTCATCTACTGTATAACGAATTACACCAAGGTTAAACAGACAGAGTAGGATGAGAAAATCAATTGCACAATATCGGTACGAAATGTAAGTAGTCTTCATTAAGTGGTGATTATCAAACACGCAATTATTAAACAGTCGCTATTCAGACAGAAAAGACCTATTATTAGTAATCAAAAGCAATCATAACGTTATACCCCACACAGAATATCTAGGCTGAAGGCAAAATGACAGGAAATGTGTGCTGATGACTTGTAAGCACTCTTATATCCACACATCCAAGGTGTTCATGAAGCTACAAAGAATAATATCAGCTTGTTTATTCGGTTTCTTTTCTTCCCTCAATCCTTTTGTCTTTAAATGTCTAAATGAGAACTTCTTTATATATTTGGTTTCTCATCGTGTATACAGGTGTACTTAGTGGTCTATTTATTATTCTAGTACTCTTGGGCGTTTCCATTTGGATGACTGTGTTTAATTGCAACTTTGTACGATTGAACAAACAGATGTTCAGATTTACATATTAGACAAAAGTCAAGAAAACAAATAGTTTGATTAAGTAATGCAAGATTGTGAAGGGATTAAATCGAACATGTTTTAATGAACATGGACTAGTAAACTAGCTCGCTAGCTTTCCAGCCGACCCCAAGCCCAGGTAAAATTGAAGTGTTAAGCGTGGGGCTAGCGATTCCACACCACTAAATTTTCCAATTCCCTAGAGAAACTTCAACACAAAAATTATATTATATATACAAAAATCTTCAAATTGAAGTATGCGCTGAAGATGTCACCCAGTAAGGTGATGAAAGCTTCGCAAACTAACCATCCAGCTCAGAGAACAAAATCACATCAAAATCATCCACCTGAGCTACAAATCTTCTCTATCATATCTAAATCTTCTTCTTCATTCGAATGTGAGAGGCAAAATGACACAGTGGGCTGGTGAAAGTCTTTACGGAGCCAGTTAGCTGACGAAAGAACGAGTAAAAATGGGTACGTGGAATGTCCGTACAACGTACGAGATTGGGAAGGCTGCCCAGGTACCCAAGAGATGCGAAAATATGGCTTAGAAGAACTGGGTATATACGAAAGCAGATGGAATGAATGTGGATCGACAACATTGTCAACAGGAGATTCAATTATTTATTCCGGTCACCCAGAAGACAACCACGAATACACTGAGGGAGTGGTTATCATGATGTCACCAGTGCCAGCCAAAGACATAATGCAGTGTGAATCGATTTCATCCAGGATCATGACAGCAAGATTCAACTCAAAACGCAGTGAGGTAACAATTATCCAATGCTACGCACAAACAAACAACGAGGAATAAAAAAAGAAAGAGGATTGTTAGACACAATTACAAACAGTAATGGACAACGTCACAAATAGTGACATCAAAAGTCTCATCGGGAACATGAGCACCAAACCGAGCGAAAAATAGATATGACAGAAAGAGAACTCATCATGGGTCGAGAAGTACTTGGGAAGATTAATGAGAACATAGAAATATGCAGACTTCAATTTTTTCAACTATTTCTTGATCGGAGAAAGCGTGAATGAACACAAGGATGTACATGAAACAAAACACATTCCCCGCGACAGATATAGAAGAAAACAAACGAATTTCATGAAAAACTCAAGGAATTGGAGACAGCCTGCCGGACACTAAGTAGAGAATGGGAGCAGATGTGGGCGGGCTCAGACCATCATCCAGTGCAAGCAGCCTTCAAGGGGAAGCTGAAATCCATGAAAACAAATGAAGACAAACCACAATTCAAGTTCAACATTCAGAAACTGAAGGACAAAACTACAGGAGATGCCTTGGCTACAGGTATCAGAGCAAAGTCGGACACACTAGGTGGCATCACTGAGGAATCCTGCGTGGAAGAACATTGGAACTCTCTGAAAGCGATATTTAAGGAAATGTGTACAATTGTCCTAGGAAGAAGGAAGAGACAAGACAAGGAATGGCTGTCAACGGATACCTGGAAGCTTAATCGAGAAGAGGATGATGGCGAAAGAGAAGATGACTCAATGCAAAGATGGAAAACAGAAGAAGCTAAATTCAATGTACACTGCACTGAATAAAGAAGCGAATAGTGCTAGAAAAGACAAAAGACAGTCCTACGACACACTGACAACTGAAGCGAAATAGGCGAGTCGCAGATAAAAGAGACCTCAAGATATTATTTCAGATAATCACATATCGTAACTTTAGATATAAGTGGATGTGTAAAGGCGAGTTTTCCAAAGTTATATTTATTTACTTATGTATTAAATTAAGGCGATTTCGCTTTTTTGTATATGTAACGCAATTCTTTTTTATCATTATCAGGGGGTTCGTTTTACATTCACTTGCGACTGTTAAGTGAAAAAAACAGTCGTATGATTAATTGCAATGTAGATTTCTTCAAGATTCTACGTTGAAAACCAAGGAGGATTGAACAAATGTCTCTTCTTCCTTGCATGAGACTTTTCAGCAGTGTGTGTGGCGTGTACTATTGATAAGATTCCTCAGTAGTATATCTATATATATAAAGAGATGGTTATGGGCATAAAAAAATCAAATAGCAGGGTGATAAATTTGATGTCAGAGAAAGCAAATGATACAGCGTTGCGGGGATACTTGGGAAACGTGGGAGGAATACAGGGAAACACATTATGGAGGACAGAAGTAGCTCAACACAGATCTGTGCAAATGGTGCATTGAAGATAAGGTTCAGAGATACAAAATTCCAAATAAACATTCCTTTACCAAGTTTTTCTTCTTCAACCGATGTATGTGCACTAGAAACCCAAGCAGGAGTCGAACGTATAACTCCCAGGTCACGAGACAAGTCGGTTGAGACATTTGAACATTCGGTTGAAATTCAAGGATCTATAGATTCTAACTCCTACCAGTTAGCGATATTAGTGACATAGCCAACTAATGCCATCAATAAGCATCAGCTTTACAACCAATGTTGAAGTCTCTACAAACCCATAATCTGAATATGATTAATTGCTTAATTCACCTTGTTTGGATAGATGTACATAGTTTATTTTTTAGAGTAGAATCAAATACACATCTAAATTCTCTTTGCGTATTTGGAATAAGTGAGCTCAAAAGTGTCTCACTGTGATCACGTTTTCACACATTTGTTCATTGGCTAGTAACCAGTGTAGCTGTTTCATTTCAAGGATAGCTCGAAATGTCTCAATACATACTGGTGAATAGTGTTTTCATTTTCAACTTAAACCCCCTAACATCTGTCACTTCAAACGCAACTACAACATGAAGGACTACACACAGGACATTGGTTACTCCCTAATGACCAGTCAGTGTATCCATTACAGTCTTACAGAAGGTTTGTCGTTGGTTTGAAAAGCTCTGAATGCAACACTTGGAGACTGGAGCTTGAATATCAGGGGTAATATGAGACTTCCTTCAACGTTACAGACACCCTGCTAACAGACGACTGCCTACAAACGCGAAACCTAGGTCGTGAGCTTTCTACCGATTGCCCCCAACCATTTAACACTAGTGATAGAGTGTTATATGTTTAAATGAGTTATGTTCTGTGAGCTGGTTGGTTTAATTGCGAAGCTTTCGTCGTCTTTCTAGTCAACATCTTCAGTGCAGATTTTATTGTGGGATGAACTCGTTTGAATTCTCTATGGATGAT